ACCAACCGCCTCCATCTTATACGATACAGGTGGAGAACAGCCAGTTACTACCAACCGATACCTTACACGATACAGGCGGAAAGCGTAATGGTATTTAACAATACCAGAAACCGCTTACACAAGGGATTTGTCGGACTTTGAACAGAATAATGGAATTGAATTTGGTTGGGCGAACCTTGGACCTTCCGCTCCGTAGCCCACCACACTAACAACTAGGCCCCAAAGTATTTTGTTGTAACTGTTTCACTGTACTTTGTGACAATAAGTAATATTGCGAATAAATTAGATTTATTGTATATTATTGCATTAGCGTGTGATAGCATTCGTCATTGGAACATTTCAGGAAAAATATAATGGGTTTAGTTTCTCACAACACATTATACGCTTGGTTGATAATATAAGTATGTTTCAGTAGTGTCAGCAAAATTTTCCTATTAAAGGCTGCAGAAAATTAAATGTATTATCTTGTCTCACCAAACAGCATTTCTTGGCATTCTCATGATAGCAGGTTATCAAATAACATTGACTTCAATTTAGTCTTAGGGAACATTTGAGCATTGCATAATGGGAAGTCACGATGAAAATTGGTAATGGAATCAGATGTCCTGGTAGGTTGTATCGAATGACTTGTTTAGTTGTTGTAATTTGTCATGTTGATTAAAAACTTTCAATATCAATTCATAAGAATTTTCACGATATCGTTGGCAGCTTTTAATTCCAAGAAAAGTTGTCTGAGATATGACTCAAAGAACAAAAGTATTTAAATTGGTTAGCTTGGATACAAGTATGCTGTAAAATTCACAGTTCAAAGCGGTTAAAAATTAAAAGATCATTTAACAATTTACTTAGCTTTAAAAACTATAATACGGGGATTACAATATACAGATTGACCATTGTTATAAATTTAATTATTAAGCCACCCATACTTTATCTACCAGACTGAACATATTTCATATGATTGAATGACTATTGTTATAGATTAATTATTACTTTTACCATACTTTATTTACCAGACCGAAGATAATTTATTTCAACTTGTTATAGATTAATTATTATTTTTTAGGATACTTTATTTACCAAACCAAAAATAGTTCATTTGAATGAATGACCATTGTTATAGATTAATTATTATTTTTACCATACTTTATTTACCAAACCGAAGATGGTTCATTTGAATGTATTACCACTGTTATAATTTTTTTTTACCATACTTTATTTACCAAACCGAAGATGGTTCATTTGAATGAATTA